GTTTCTCACAATCAGTCAATAGAAGTAAGAAAACAAAAATCAGTCGTCTGTCAAATCTTAGTAGTCTATGTAAGGGTAATTTTATGAGGGGCTGATCTGTAGGCAAAATTTAATGATTCTTGTATCCAACTATTCGGCCATGTAAGATTTTTTTTTTTTGGCCACATAGGGTTTTGCAAGATTTAGGGGTGACAATTTTTAACACTACATGCTGATATGACACGTCACGATATAAAAAATTCGTATTCGGATAGATCCATTTTCAAATTCTTGTCATTTTCATATTAGCAAAAACTGACACGAACATATTCGTGTAGTATGACGTGTCAATCTGCAAATATGAAATTAACCCACATTAATCTTCTTATAGGTTATTCGTGTTATGTCGTAAATCTATTATTCGTATCTTATCGCATCGTGTTGACCTGCATAATATGTATGTAACATGATTGACAGGTTATTCGTGGCATGTCGATTCGTATGATAAGCGACATAGTATGTGTTTGTGGATTATTTGTGTCATGTTGTGTCAACTGTCAAGTCACAAAATAAGCGAATCGTATTCGTGTCGAATGTTTTAACTCGGTTTTAAATTCATGAAATATATTTGTATTTGTATCGAATTTGCGGCATATCGACTTGAATTGCGACCCTAACTAAGTTGCCCAAGGTTGGAACCGAACCATCATGTGCCAAATTAGGTTGCACAAGGTGAAACTACCTGTTAATATTATGGGATTTGTGCTAGTCGGTTAAGAGCCTGCTCTCGTTTGCTTTTTCTTCTTCTTTTTTGTAAGTTCGTAATTTTTTTTTTTTAAATAAACCATAGACATTCTTTAGGGAAGACAATCCTATTCGGGATGGATCCAGTTGTAAGGCTTTAAATCTCTCTTAAAGATAACATTGAGAAAAATCGAACATATGTTCTCACCCCCCCCACCTACTCAACTCCTATACGCCAACTGAGCTATCATTATTTGGTATAAACTTCATTCTTTAATTGATAGGAATTTGGACCTTTTTAGTTTGATTAAGCCAGGCTAATTTTTTTTAGATTTATAAAAGATTAAATTCAACCAATGGTAATAATTGTTATTCTAAAAAATTAATAAGGGAATATTAAAAAACATTGAATCTTATTATATGTAATATTAAATTACTAATTCCATATCTCTAAGAGGAAATAAAAGCATTCTATATTTGTTTTCTATCAAACAAAAGATTCTTTATTGGTCTAGAGAGAATAGAGCATAGAATCTAATCAACATTCCATATAAGAAACATGATAAAGCTGAATATGTTGTCTGACCCTCATTTTCAATAAGTTTAACCAAATCATTTTTATGTACTTTTACAAAGATAGTCTCAGTTTAATAAATTATAATTTTATTATCAATTAGTAATTATCCTATTCATTACGTATGGGTATTTTTAGATTTAATTAAAATTTGAAAACATAAATTAGAAGATAAATACTTCAAAAAATATTTAAAAATTATAAGGGAGATATACATAATTATTATTTATTCAGATGCGCTCTTAAAAATATATATTAAAATTAAATTGAATTAAATTTGTCAACTTAGTTTAGCCAGCCCTTTCTTTTCCCTTCATTTTGTAATGCAACAAATATTTTTTTAGAAACAACATATCACTGATGAAATATTCAGTTTTATTTTTCCACTACAAATCGGTGTTGGTCTAATGATTATCAAAGAATTCTTCCTCAGTTGAATGAAAAACCCGAAAGTCCGAAATGCCTCAAGGGAAGCTGAACACATGATCATTACTCTTTGAATATTAAATTGCTTCAGGTCCTACTGCGCAGGGTACAAGATCAATTTGCAGAAAGAGTGCTTGAGGTTTATTAATCTTAAGATAACATTAAAATAACATCAGCGGTTTTGTTGTTTTTTTTTATTGTTATTTTAATATTGTTTATTAGTTCTTCATAATAAGTAGTGTTCTTATGCAAGAAAAATCCTCAACTTTCACAATAGGGAGCTAAATTTTTTTATGAAACGGGACAAAATTATAAGTGTAGTATTCTTTGTAAGTTATACAGTTCATAATTAGAGATTTGTATGAATTTGAAGAAGGACAATCGCTATCTATATGACCAAAAGCAATACAAATAACACCTATATTGTTGGAAATCGACAATCACACAAAATCGAGAAAACAGAAAAGAGATAAGAGTAGAGAGATTGACACGATGATTTACCCTGGTTCACCCAATTAAGGCTACATCCAGCTTGTCTGTACTATATTCTTCTCACCGCCACTCGTTACAAGTCACTCGGTTTACAAGGAAAATATAAATAGGATTAGAAAACCCTAACAGCAGCTATTCATGGGCCCAAGCCCAAACTGCTAAGGAAATTACAATAAAACAGAGGCCCACAATAGTACCTAGCCTCTACGGGTAGAGCCGGCAAAACAGGCTCGGCTCGGTGGCCCAACCCGCCAAACCGGGGGGGGGGGGGGGGGGCTGAGTTTTTCAACCCATCCCAAAAGCGGGCGGGGCGGGCTCATTCTTTGGTGGGTTGATGGCGGGCATAGGCGGGCCGAGGCGGGTCAGTGTAAAATAGGCTCGGGCTGGCGGGCCAACCCGTCCAACCCGCCAAACGGGGCGGGGCGGGCTGACTCATTTTTTGGCAGGTTGATGGCCGGGTAGGGCGGGGCGGGGAGGGGCGGGGCGGGGCGGGCGGCCCACTTTGCCACCTCTATCTACCGACCCCCGCCCGCTCACCTGGGAGCGGGACCCCAGTTGCCTTTCTGCTGACCCCGATAATTAGGGCCTTCATCAGCATGCGAAGTATGAGCCATACCCAACATATATTGCATCGACGTTGACACAAGATATGAGACACCATACGACACGACACTGCGACACGTTAATTCTAAAAAATATTAAATTTTGACATGTTAAGACACGTTTTGATATTAAATAATATTTTTAATATATGTAGTATATATTATATTTAATATTCAATTATTTTTAAAAAATAAAGCTAAGCTTATAATACCCATTAATTTTGCAAATAAACATAGATATCACAAATATTTATATTAAACTCAATAAAATAGTAATAGTAATCTAACGAATCTAATAGTTGAAACTAAAAAAGCAACACAACTTTTAAGTTATTTTTTGAGTCTTTACAACACGTGTTAGAGTGTGTTATCAAAAAAAAAAAAAAAAAAAAAAAAAAAAAAAAAAGTTTCATACACGACATGCCAGGTGTGTCCATGCATCATAGAATAACACTCATAATTAAAGGTTTGTATAAAGTCTTAGGTTCTCTCTCGCCCCACCACAGAATAACACTCATAATTAAAGGTTTGTATAAAATCTTAGGTTCTCTCTCGCCCCACCACTGAGCTTTACAAATCTTAGCTTTACCATCATTTCTCTTGGTCGTCATTTGCACGCCGTTACAATAATGAGATTATTATGACCGTGTGCATAAATCAGCAAACGATTCATCTTAGATATAAGGATTGATTCCTGATACATGTCAGGTGTGTCGATGCATCACAGAATAACACTCTGATACATGAGTATTGTGGGGATACAAAGGAGCTTGTAATATTTTTTTCCCTAATGACTTAATGCATCATAATTGTACCAAAAAATACATTATGGTTGGTTAGCTTGATAATGGATATCACGTGGATTGTCGGAGACAATGAAGCATGTATTTGTTAAAAATGATTAGAGATAACTATTTGGCCATCCGTGTATACTACGCCACTACGTCTTGTGGTAAACGTTCTCCGGAGTCGTAGGCTTGAAGGCCAAGCAATAGCAACTCAAACGAAGAAGGGTAGGAGTAATATATGCCAAGGTGATGCTGTTAGTCATTGATGGTGCATGCACCCTTATCGATGTACTAGTTGTTGGTTGCACTTTGATGTATGGGCGGATTATTTTATTGGCGAAAATTCACTATTCACTATAGTTTGGAGGAGTATGAGCTCCGGGGAAGACCATATGTCACATAAAACTAGATTTTTAAATTCAAGTGCGATTGATTAAGTTCCACATCAATTAGGAATAGACTACGCAGGAAACCCACAAATTTAATACGTTAAGATTTTGGGTTGTTACGTTACATTAAATCCACTTTTAATTTGCTTGGGTTCTTTACTTAATTCATTATTATTGTTGGGAATTCAAGTGTACGTTACAAAGTCTCACGTTTGGAAGAAATGAGCTAAACGTGATGCATATATAAGTGAAAGCACCCCTAATCCAAATGCCCTTTGATTAATAAACTTATTGTTGGTTGTTGCTTAAACTTATTCGTAAGAAATTGCAAATTTTATAAAAAGAAAGTAATATTTGTCTGCTGAATAAAGTGCCACTTTATTTGAACTCACCTTTTTATTAAACCAGAAAGATCCTTAATTAGCACCTTTTGTAATAATATTATTATTGCAAAAGTTTAATATGCTAATAATCAAACTAGTGCTGCATTTTTAGTATGGTATTCCTTTTAACAATAATTGTAGTACTTTTAGTAAATCTCAACTGCTACAAAAAGCAGTCACTGTTATATAGATGGCTTTGTTTGTATTTGATGCAACTTTCGGAAGTGATTTCTTAAAGCTGTTGATAAAGATCTTTTATGCATTCTAATGCATCTTTCAAATGGAAATTTGATCTATTTCGGTCACGTTGGAGGGCAGTGTGTGCCACAATATCATTAGAGAAGTAGGCTGAGTCATAAGCTATCCCAAGCCAAGAGAGATGCGCATGCATTTCAGTGGGGAAGCTGTGGGGCACAGCGTGTGGTTTGCACTACTCATTGCTACAAAATTTGCATGTGGGGGACAAAGTGAAGGTTAAGATATCTCAATTTTCACTACCTAGGAGCAAAAGTGTTTTGGAATTTCTTATAAATCATATCAAGCGACACAAAATATATTGAATAGTCCCAACTATAGCACAATATATAAATAACATTCTTCTTTTTTCTGTAGCGTGCCAAAAGATGGAGACCTTCAGAAATTTTCGTGTTCTCTGTTTAATCTTTGTAGGGGTAATTGTTGGGCTTAAAGGTGAAGAGATGAAAAATGGAACTGCTCATAGTCAAGGCAATGCCACTTTAGTAACTCTATCTCATGAAGGTAAAAACGAAGAAGTAAAAGGAAAAGACATTAACAGTTCCTCGAATGATGTTGTGTTCAACACAAGCAAAGGTAGTTCGTATAATAGAGGAGGAGGTGGAGGTGGAGGTCGGGTTGGAGGAGGATTCAGATGGGGATGGGGTGGCGGAGGTGGTGGTGGTGGAGGAGGTGGAGGGGGTGGTGGTGGTGGTGGAGGTGGAGGTGGAAGTGGATGGGGATGGGGTGGAGGAGGGGGTGGTTGGTGGAAATGGGGGTGTAGAGGTGAACCAAGACATGGTAAAAGGAAACAAGGAGTGAGGGGCATGAAGAACCATTACTCATCAAAGGAAGACTATAGGCTTGGGGAGTTTGCACAATGCATGGTAAGAACAAGGTGCCGAGGCATGAGGTTGGATTGTCCTCTTCATTGTGGTGGACCTTGTTTCTATGATTGCCGCCATATGTGCAAGGCTCATTGTCTCCGACCCTGAAATGCTCAAGCAATTTCGTTAATTCCTTCATCATCTATTTCTTTTTCTTTTTTCTGATAATTTAATGTTGATTGATTCAGAATTGTGATTTGGATCAAAATCATTACTATACATTGCGTTTCATTGATAGGCTTTAATGCTGACACTGGTTATAAAGTCTGGTTTATACAACTGATTGCTAAGCCATTTATTCTTTTATATTGCAAGTGTTACTTTCTTTTTAATTTTAATTCAACAATATTACATCGTTGTTGTTGAAAGATGATGGAGGAACTCCCACCACTACATGTATTCATGCCTTTTTTATTGAATATTGTTGGGATATTCAAATGTGATAAGTCCCACATTGGTCATAATGGACTAAGTGAAATGCATGTAAGTAGGAGTATCCATGAACCCAATACCTTAACTTTTTGGGTTGAGGCATGATGTAAACCCACTTGCTACAGTTGGTGTAGCTTATCCCATTGATAGTGGTCCCCCTGCCATAGGCTCTAGGGGTGGAAATACGGGTCAACCCGACACGACACGTGTTCGACACGTAAACTATTCGACACGACCCGTACACGACACGTTTTGTAAATGGGTAAAAAAACACGAACCCGAACACGGCCCGTTGTGGGTCACGGGTTGACACGACACGACCCGCAAAATTTGAAATTTAAAAAAAAATGAGATTTTTTGAAAAATAAATAAATTTAAAACAACAAAAAAACAAAAATAGACTAGCTTTTGTCTTTTGAAAAAATTACAAAAATAAATGAATAAAAATAATAATGACTATATGTATCAATATTTAAATGAATAAAAATAATTAAAATTACAAAAATAACCCTGTACGGGTTGACACGCGAACCCGCGGGTTGACTCGTGACCCGTCACAACGTATCACATTTATGCAACCCGTACACGACCCGCTCCTACCCGTGGGTTGACATGACACACGTTTTGACGGGTCGGGTCACGGGTCAACCCGCGGGTCAATACCTGTATTGCCACCCCTAATAGGCTCCTTATACCCACTTGGGCTAGCCAGGTGTTTGGCTAAGAGGAGGGTTGAGTACTTGGCCTTGGGATACTCGGTTAAGGGGAAGCATACAAATGTTGAGTTTATTCACACTTGAAGGGGAGCCACTTAACTCTGATATCAAAGTCAGGTTGAGCTCGGGTTAGCCAAATATTTGGCTAAGAGGCGGGAAGGGGAGATTGTTAGGGGCTCGAGAGTAAGGGGAGATTGTTAGATTATTCAAATGTGATAAATCTCACATTGGTTGGTAATAAGCTAACTGAAATTATGTAAAATCTCACATCGGCCATGAGGGAGCATTTGGGGTTTGATGTTGTAAAATTATGTAATTGATGTGTTGTAGTGTTAGATGGTGTTTGGATGAGTTGTGTGTTGTGTTGATGCATTGGAAATTAAATGAAAAATACTTGGAGTGTGTGAGAAGTGCACATTCGAACCTTTAAAGGAAATTAAGGAAAATTGGTGCTAGGATTATAGTACATGGAAATTAGGACTTGAATGAGTGTTGTGTAAGCTTGTGAAGGCATAGCAACCTTGAAATAAAATCAAGAAAATTGTTTGGGAATTATGGCCATAAGGTCGAACGTATGCTTTTGGGGGGTGTGAATTTTGGTACATTGAATCTTGATAATTTGCAACGTGTGTTGATGATCCTCGTGTGATCACTGTAGGTTGCCTCCCACGGAATTGAACCAGGAGCTTTGAGCTTGGTGGGTTGTGTAAGAACCTGCACTGTTAATTAAGGAAATTAATTAATTAATTATGTGAAATTAGGAAATAATTCGATAATTGACCCTATTAATTATTATAAGGCTTAAATAATATTGGTAAGTGATTAATAATTCTGAAAGTCGCTTTTCGGACGAAAAGCGCAGATACCGGTTCTGCTACTCGGTATAAATGTGTACCGATAAAGTATCCCGGAAAATTATGAAAAGTGTGTATTTGTCACTAGAATAATATATAGGACTTGTAACAAGTTTCAAGTTAAAATAATGAGAACTGGTGCCAGAACTGATACTGGCTATGGAAAAGCGCGTACCGGAAAGGTGCTGCAAAAAATAAAATAAAAATATGAAAAATCATAAAAAATGAGTAGGTTCAGATTCCAAAGTTTGAGATTAAAATGCTAAGCGTAACTATTAGCGCTAATACAGTGCGTTTAAATCTTAAGTGGCCTATATAAGGCCTTGGCACATGATCCTAGGATAATTCCTTGTGCCTCAGTCGTGAGTTTTCTGACCCTTTGAGCAGCTGAGCTTCTTCTTCACCATTCTTGACCTCTTCCTCCATAGAAACCTCCAAGAGACCATTTTTCTTGGTTGTTTCTTCACCTAAACACCTTGGGTGAGTGGGAACTATCATTGGGAGTGTAAGGTGAGCTCTATTTCTGGGTTGTGGTGACTGTGTGAGGTGAGTTGTGGGCTGACTTCGTACTTGGTGAAGAGGGAGCCTTTTTCCTTGGTTGTGGGAGCTCCAAAGAGTGATCTTTGTGAAGAAAGGACCTTGCTATGTGGTCATTTTCGTTCCCCTTGCAAGTCAGACTTGAGGAGCTGCTGTGAGAGCTCCAAGAGCACTTCAAGCTTCTGTTTTGAGGCTTTGGGTATGTTCCCTACCTTGATCTTGAGTTTTAGTGGTTTTAAGGTTGTGTCTTGGCATGTTAATGGGTTAAACATGTAACCAATCAGTATATGAACTTAAAAGAGAGTAAAAAGCATGCTTTAACGTTTAGAAGTGTTAAAAATGGAACCTTGGAAGTGATATCTCACGAAATACAAAAACTGCATTCTGTCGCGAAATATCCGGATATTGATATCCGGATATCGGCTCTATGATATCCGGATATTGATATCCAGATATTCCCCCGACATATATCTGGATATTCGAAGAACAGTAGCTGCACTGTTCATACAGAAGGCTGTTTTGGGCTTGTGGACCCTAGATTGATGAAGTGGGACTTCTGTAATGATTAATCTAAGTCAGAATCTAAGTGATTAAGGGCTTGTGGCTTTGTGAGAAGCCTAAAGACATGAAACGTAAAGGAAATGCATTGTCTTTATATCGTATACTTGTTGAGTATGATTATTGATATGATTGCTGGTCCAAACAGATTGTGTTTGTGCTGTGTGTGGACTTTGAGCTTGGTTGGACTATTGGTTTGGATAGCTAGCTTGAAAGGTAAGCTTTCGTGTCCTCGAATTGATCTGTTGCTTGTTCCACCGACCTCCATGGGAGGGTGGTTTATATGCATGTATGCTTTTATGAAGATGATACATGCATTGATATACGCCTGAGACATGTTGATATAGCTTTTGATGTAATGTATGAATGTCATGTTGGTACTTGTACGACCAGGCAGCCACCCTGGTGTGCAAGGCATGTCTAATGTATGAATGTGATATTAGTACTTGTACGATCAGGCAGCCACCCTGGTGTGCAAGGCATGAGGCAGCCTCCCTTATGTAGGTAGGTAACAGACGTGTATAAGCCCTATCCTGTTCCCTGGCCAGTCGAACCGCACTCACATACATCACATGATTAATGAGTTGTAGTATTTAACTCGTTGAGCAAGAGATTATACTGTCATGATATAAATGCCTTAACATGAACATGCATTGAAATTACTATTTTTGAACTTATATTATACTTGAAAGTGAGCTTGGGGCGGAAGAGTCTTTGAGGACCATTTGTCTTACTGAGATTTCTGTTTAGAGATCTCACCCCACGTTTAGGTCACCATTTCAGGTTCAGGTAATGCGGGGGTTGAGACCTCTTACAGCAGGAGGCTGGAGCTTAGCTGATATTTGTTGTTTATGATGATTATGCTTGGATTCTGGATTATGCCTGTTGCTATATGCTTTTAGCTTGTTATCGTTATCATGCTGTTTGTATTGAGACTTGATGAGTATGCTATTTATTTGGTGAGCATGGGGTTTGTCCATGCCACATTGATTTGACGATATTAAGTTTATTCGAGTTGTATAATTGTATCAGGATTATGTCCGGACTACGTGTTGTAGATCCGTGGCTTAGATACTCATTTATTTATGAGGTATTTCAGTTAGCTGTCTTTTGCAATTTACATACGGGCGGTGTTTTTATGAAATTGATTATGTAATCAACTTGGCTAATTTAATGACGTCATAATTGAAAAGAAAAAGAATATTCCACATTTTAATTAAGCGTGTCTTAATACGATGGCATGTTAACAAACCGGGTATACACGAGGTGTTACAGGTTGCCATTGGTCAGGGACCAAAGGGATTTTGGTAAGTCGTCTTGAATCTATGCATGATTAATTGATAATCTTGCATATATCTTGGTTGGTGGTAATTGAAATGGAAATGGCCTATCTGTAGGCATTTCTTGTGAACCGAGCTCGGTGACACCTTGATTTGGAGTTATCAAGCGGAGGAGATTATTCAGGTAATCTCTTGGTACTGGAGTTTAATCCCCGTGTGTGCTCCACCATGCCCTTTGAGGGTAGTGGTTGGAGGTGTATGTTGGTAATGTAGTATAACATGCTCATGCATTATTGTATGTTAGTGGTACGTAGAATGTACCGAGTCTCTGGCCAGTAGACAGTTTGCCTTCGGGCGTTACGGACTTCCACTAGATAGGTCTCCATGAGGGAGTTCCAGTTGACCTGGGGTCGTGGTGTGTCATCCGTAGAGGAGCGCATTAGGAAGTCTTGGGTGTATATGGATGGAGGGTGCCTTGGTTGATGTTTTGGGAACACTTCCTTGGTTTGGAACCCGTAGGCTATATGCCGAGGCCAATAAGGAGGATGTTGCGTGGTAATGGCATCGACCATTCCAGCTTCATCGTATTTTATTCTCTATGCTTTCCTACTTCACTAAATCCCTTGTTTTATCCCGTTTTGAATGTTATATTATATTATTGATATGCATCGAAGTGAGCCATTGGGTGGAGTAATCTCCAGAACCTCTGAATTACTGATATATATTCGTAT